TGAGGTGCATACATTTTAAAAGAAATTTTAATTAAGCCCAATGCATCTCCGCATTTATAATAAATTAAAAATAAGATCTTCCATAGCCTATCTAGTGATATTTACAGCACTGTGGTACTGTCCTCCTCCCAGCCCTCTTCCCCAAAAAAAGACAACATTTGCTTTCCTAATTTGTTAATAGAATGACAAATAAAAGTATGATTATGACAGGCCTTAAATATTCCTCCAAAGGACCCCAGAGTTTCAGGGGGATGCGAGAGGTGGACAAAACATCTTTGGGGTGCTCATAGTAGCTGAAATAAGTGGAAGGTAAAAAATAACAGAAGCTTCAAGTGCTCAGTGTGGAACTGACTCTCAGTGAGAATTCAGAGAAGAGAAAAATCACTATGAAATGGTGTGATTGGAAAAGGCTTCCCTGAAAAAGCTAGTAGCTGGGGCTTTGAAGGATAGTTAGGATTTAGATAAGCAGAAAGAGAAGTGGGAGGGCAATACAGGCAGAACAAAAATAGTACCATGGCTGAAATGAGTATGGCGTGTTTCAGGGTACTTACTTGAACAGAGCTGAGGCACTTATGGAATAGCAGGAAGAGAGACTGGGTGGAAAAAATGAATTGAGGTTATAAAGGTCTTTGAAAACCACAGTTTGTAGTGGATACTGTAGAGAGCCATTTTGAGTTTTTGCCTAGGACAGTGACAAAATACTTACTATTAGTAACCCAAATTACAGTTTCATGAAATGCCCAAACCAACATCCTCATGATGACAAATGTATAAGAAAATCGTGTTTAGTAATTTCTAGGGAAAATCTCTTTATACAGATTGTGACTTAGAAGCAAAATCACAGAAAGTTGCTTGAGATGCCAAGAGGTTAAACTATTTGACCAATCATGCAGTTAACAAGTAACAGAGATCTTGCTGACACTAAGCCCTTCTATCCACTCCACCACTGAGCACTTCAAGTCTTGTTTTAAAAGTATCATTTTAATAACATTTTTTTTGTTCAGTTGTTTTTCAGTCGTGTCTGACTCTGTTGACCCCACTTGGGGTTTTCGTGGCAAAGCTACTGAAGTAGTTTGCTATTTCTTTCTCCAGCTCATTTTACAGATGAGGAAACTGAGGCAAACAGGGTTCAGTCACTTGACCAGGGTCACACAGCAAATAAATGTCTGAGGCATAATTTAAACTCAGATTCTTCCTGACCCCAGGCCAGGCACTTTATCCACTGCATCATCTACCTGTTCTTTTATAGCATAGTTTTCTCAAATTGTATTAGAATATTAATTGGCTCTGTTGCTTGGTTTTGATGAATTTATTTGTCTTTTTTTTTTTTTTATTTTGGTGAGGCAGTCAGGGTTAAGTGACTTGCCCAGGGTCACACAGCTAGTGAGTGTCAGGTGTCTGAGGGTGGATTTGAACTCAGGTCCTTCTGACTCCAAGACCAGAGTTCTATCCACTGAACCACTTAGCTGCCCCTTGTTTGTCTTTTCTATTCTTCACTATAAGATGACTCTCTGGGAGGAGAGAAAGGAAGGGAGATACAGTTGAAAATACAAGTGATGTTTTTTAAATGATATTAATAAATTAATTTTAATGCTGTTGACTACATAAATAGAAATGAATGTTTCACCTAAATATTCTACCCTACTCCTTACAAGCATGATTCCTCCCATTTTATCTCAGCAAGTAAAGTATCTCATATTCACAGTTTGATAAGATTATAGTTTATAGTGGGATAGCTATAAGAAAAAAGCAAAATGATACTTAAAGTGTTATCATCAACTAATAAACTGCTGTGGGGGTTGTTTATACAGGTATGCTGGTATCCTTCTAGGCATCACAAATTCATTTGGTACTATTCCAGGAATGATCGGACCAGTCATTGCTAAAAGTCTAACACCTAATGTAAGTAAATATTTTGTTACATAAAACATTATAAGCAGTTCAAAATTGAATATATTGTGATTACAATGTATTTTGAGTACATTCTTCAGTATTATTACTTATGAAATTCATTTTTATTGTACATTTATAGTTTAATTGCCTTTTATGTAAGTAGTAGGTTAAATGAAGATTTTGTGCCTGAAAGCCCCCATATGGTTACATTTGTATGACATTTATGATACTTGAATTATTTCTGTTAGTCAACATTTGACCAATATTTATTAAACGCCTTCAGGGTGAAGGTATTCAAGATACAGAACTTAGATAAGATACAATGCCTGCCTTCCTGGAGCTAATAGTCTAGTGGGGGATATGACACATATACATGTAACTATAAAATAATATGTAAGTGCATTAGAGAATTGCAAAACAAAATTTGCCATGATGTCCTATTAATTACCAGGAAAGTCCAGAAGAGTTTCACAATAAAGGCAGTATTTGAATTGGGCTTTAAAGCGTAACTAGGAATTCAGCAGGTAGAGTTAGGAAGAAGGGCGTTCCAAAAATAGGAGAGGACATGAGCAAAGGCAGAGACAGTTTTTAAGTTTTATTGATTTGTTTTTATTTGGTTTTATATTATACACATTTACAGATTATCACCTCTCTGTGAGAGGTTTCTTGTGTCTAAGTAAAATGATTTAATAGAACTAATAATACAGTGACTTAATTTGAAAATGCATGCAACATTCCACATCTGTAGCATCTATACACATATACCTGTTTTTAAAAAACTAACAAATCTATTTTCTCTTCAGTTCCCTCCTTTTAGAGATGAGGAGCTGAGGTTAATTGACCTCTCCAAGGTTACACCAGTGGTAAACTAAAGTTCAGTAAGCTAACATTTGAGCCACAGTTTTCTGACTCCAATCTTTCATTCTTTCAGTAGCACTACTGTGTTTTTTTTGGTTTGTGTTTGTTTTTTTTTTGCTAGGCAGTGGGGGTAAGTGACTTGCCCAGGGTCACACAGTTAGTACGTGTCAAGTATCTGAGGCCAGTTTTGAACTCAGGTCCTCCTGACTTCAGGGCCAGTGCCCTATCCATTGCGCCACCTAACTGCCCCTAAGTAGTACTATTGTTAAGAAAAGTTTTTGACTCCTATCAGTTCCAATTAATGTAATTAAAAAGATGCTTTAGGGGCAGCTAGATGGCGCAGTAGATGGAGCACTGGCCTGAAGTCAGGAAGACCTAAGTTCAAATCCGGCCTCAGACACATAATACTTACTAGCTGGGTGACTCTGGGCAAGTCACTTAACCCCAATTGCCTTGCCAAAAAAAAAAAGATGCTTTACCCCCTTACACTGTTATCAGGTAAGAGCACCTCTTTGAGTTGCAGAATCAATTAATCAATCAAATGTATGAAACATGTATGAACAGTCTGATCTATATTAAATCACTGGGCTCACCTCTAACCCCCTTGCTGCTTTGGGTCATAGGTATGTGTCTGGTTCCTCAAAGCTTCACACTGGAAGCTGTCACTGGAATGCTTTTTCTTCAAGAAACTTCCAGGCCCAGAAATGTGTCTAATTCTTTTAACAATCTCAGTACACTTCGTCATTTGATTTCATCCAGTGGCTGATTTCATCCACTTTGTTTCTGGCACCTATTGTATATTTTTGATTGATTCAACAGAGGTGTCTGCAGATTGTTCAGACCTAGTTTATATATTTGATTGACTTGGTCAGTCAGAGGCATGGTGACCTGATAAAGGTGTTAAGAAAAGAGTCTCCTATCAGTTACGTTAGTTAGGGTTGGAGAATGTGAAACATCCCTCTCATGCTATGCTGCCTCCTCTTTTTAAGTGGTCCATTTAAGAAAATTAAATATGAACATATCTGTACATTTAAGATGAATTGTCTTTTACAACATGTGTAATTTTCATACACATGAGATTTAATTATGGATATGATTAAATAGCTCCTGTATTTCCATCTTCCATTTTTATTTCCTAGTCTACCATTTGAGAAAAATTTATGTATTTTAAAATTTATTTAAGACCTTCCAGGTCAGGATATGAACTTGGATAACAAATGTTACTCTCTCCTCAGATGTACCAAGATAAGAACTTAAAGCATTTTCATTTTCACTTGTGTTTGTTATTGGTGGTGTTAACTCTCTGTAGCACTCTCCTCCTTCACCCCTTCTTTCAGGTCGAGTCCCCAGAGTTAGTAACTGCTCTTAGTCCCCTCATGGTTCTAGGGGGTAACCCTGATGAACTGAGTTCTAATTCTCTTGCTTACACCTTCCCAGCCAGTGTGTTTCCCCCAATATCGATTAACTAGTTGATATCAATTAACTATTACAAAATATTTACTGAGAAGAGATAGCAAAGGATAGAAATTACAAAAATATTCCCCCAGACAGAGAGGTACACTTTTACCCCTGTGGTAACAAGGAGTTTTCTGGTTGACTTTGGAGCCAGGACTGATAGTTCTCAAAGTGCCTTCTTTGTGCCACCACAAAAAGAGCAGTTATAGTTTTGTTTTTGGTTTTTTTTTTTATGCCTAGCATTCTTGACACCACATTAGCATCTTTTTCCAAAATCATCTTCCTCTTACATAAGTCTGACCCTGACACTACCTTGCTCAAAAACTTGCAATGGCTCCCTATTACCTGTAAAATAAAAGACAGACTCCTTAGCTTGGTGTTTAAGGCCCTCCATAATCTAGCTCTGATTCCATTTTTTTCCCTACTTCATAGACATCTATGTTCAGCCAGACAAAACTGTTATTATTCCCCTGGTTCATCTTGCATTTTCCCATAGCTACACATTGCCAAAGGTCCTTCCCCTGTACCTGAAACACACCCTCTCCTATCTCTGCCTGTTAAAATGATTTTCTTCCTTCCAGGCTCCTAAAGCCTTTGTGAAGACTTCACTACTTCCCACCCACTCCCAGTTGAAGTTGAATTCTCCCTCAAATTTCTTACAAGATTTTATCTGCAACCCTTGCTTATCCTTATCACATTGTCCCTAATATCTGCTTATTCATTTGCATTCCTTGTCCCTCTCATTAAATTATAATCTCCTTGGAGGCAGAGACTGTGTTTCTCATCTTTGTATCACTAGTACCTAGCATGTTACTTTGAGTGTAGCAATATTTACTAAAAAAAAATTTTTGTTGAATCTTTTATTTTTAAAGTATATAATTGAAATCTAAAATGTGTTTATGGGACAATTATTCTGACATAAAACAAAACATTTTAAAATCACTAGTAGAATTTTCATCTTCAAAACTGGAGCTGTGTGGGAATTACAGTACAATTGATGAATTGACTAGTTTGTAAGCCACCCATTGCCTCAAAGTAACACTGAAGTATTATTTTGTGCTGTAGGTTAAACAGAGCAGCTTTGTCTTAGGACTACTGAGAAGCTGCCTTAAACATATTATTCTGGTATAATAAATAATCATTGATTTATTCCCTTTTCTTCTGGTGCCATGGCACCAAACCTGCCTCTCTGATTACTCACTCACAACACATTTAAGATGAACTTTTAAGATTTCTTTTTTGACAAAATACATTCATTTCAGACAAGTATGACTTTTCAATAGTGTTCCTGTCTTTCTCCTTTGTACTGTTCACATTTTTCTATTTAAGTTCACCCTTATTGCCCTAATTCTCTTCTCTTTTTACTACTTATTCTCCTCATTGCTTATTCAGTTCTGTCTGAACTTAAATTATTAAATTCAGGAGGGAAAAAGTTGTCCAAGTTGGGCAAATTATCAAAAAATTTAGGAGAGTTTGGACTACTAAAGTTTAAAAAAGAGAGAGAGATTTGTATTAGTATCTTTTGCTTTTACATCACCTAGATTTCTCCCTGAATCCCTTTCCTTCCCCTCTTCCAGAGGGCTATTCCTTGTAACAAAGAATTTTTTTTTTAAAAGTCAAGAAGAAAAAAAATCAGCAAAACTTATCAACATATCCAAAGAGTCTCATATTATATACACTGTTCCACATCCGCTGGACCTCATCTTTTGCAAAGAAGTGGGAAGAGGTACCTTTGAGGCCAGGCTTATACGATGTAATTTCACAACATTTAATTTTTGTTATTTTATGGTAGTCGTTCTTTCCATTTACATTGTTGTAATCATTGTGTATATTTTTTCCTGACTCTTTCATTTTGTATCTGGTCATATAAATCTTTGTATTAATCATTTTTGTAGTTTCTTAAATCACAGTAATATTTCTTTATATTCATGAACCACAATTAGTTTAGCCATTCCTCAATTTACAGGCATCTACTTTTTTTTTTCCCAGTTCTTTACTACCACAAAAAGTTCTGCTATAAATCTTTTGTATATATGGAACCTTTGTTTTTAGTAATGACCCCCTTGGGGTATGTGCTAGCACTGGTCCAAATGAATCTTTGGTCCAAATGAATCTTTGTAGGAAGACCATGATCTAAAAAATACTTTTCCCACAATACTTTAGCAACAATGGACTTCTAGTTTTGATATATTCATGTATATATATGTTATGTTCTCACTATCCCCTAACAGAAATAGGACAAGGCAGAAAAGTTCAAAGAGTTTACTAGCACTTATATTCTCCAGATAAGGGAGCAAAAATTGAAAGTACTTTTCTTTGCCCATAATGAGCACAAGTCTTACTCATAGTGAGGTCTGCAGCCATCTTAGACCAATAAAATATGTTTCTTACCACCCCCATCATCCTCTCTCGAGAATCATATGTCCTCAAGACATATGTTTCTTTATCTTGACCCATATATCCAAAGTCAGCATGTAAGGCTTTCATGGCCAGAGCACAGCATGCTCTGGGCAGCACTCACAGCTTCCTGGCACCATACTTGGCATCAGTGATGGCCATTGCCACTGTCTCAATAGCAGGGTGGCTTCAGGAAATTGGAACTTGAATCCTTTCACTGACAGTCATCTACACACAACTAAGGCAGAGAAGATGAGTTCAGTGAAACAAATGCAGCTGGGATGCTGTCTGGTAGAAGTCCCAAACTCTTAAGCTACACTGTCATTTGCTTGGAACTAAGGTTCCTGGGTCACTCTTTCTTGCACTGTCCAGTCTCTGTAACGACATAGACTTCACTCCTTCCTTAGATATCACTCTCTTTCAGTGTTTTGTGGACAGAACATCTGCATACACGTGTCTAGTGTCTAGTAATGTTTGCTGAATTATAGTTGGCTAATGCTGCTAGCAAGCTGCTTCTAACTTGGCACCAGTTAGACTCTCACTAGATTGTTGTCTGCTCACATTGGCAACTTCACTCTTTACGTGGTCTTTGAACTTCTGAGGGACACACACTTCAAAACCAGGCATCATCTCTTGTGGATGAGTAAAAGCGTTTTGCTGTTGTTCAGTCCTCTGTGGGCAAATGTAACTAGGTTTTGGTGACCGTTGCTCCCTTGGTACAAGACTGCTTCTAAGCGTTCCAGGCTGGCATTTCTATGTAGGACAGAAGGCTGGTCGGAATCTGGACAGGCCAATACTGTTGCATGTGTTAGGACTTTGAGAAAGTCTTTGAAAGCTTATTCATGTCCTTCTACTCCCCTCCCCCAATCTGCCAGCCAGGATTCTCTTCCACAAAGCTCTCCAGAATCTGAATTCTCTCTCTTCCCCTCCTAAACTCCCAGGACTTAACTATTTAAAGCACCTTGCCTCTTTCTTTGCTCAATCTGGTCATTTCCCTATAACTCAATCAGAAGAAGGTATCTACATCTCAGAAAGTAATCAAAGGGGTGAAATTTTATAGTTCGACGTCACTGCCCTTCCCCCTCACCCCACCCCAGCTCAGAAATCAACTCCCTTGTACGAGCAATAGATTCTAGAAAATGCGGTTAATATCAGTGTTCTGAATTCCCTTTTTTTTTTGTCTTCACAGAACACAGTGGAAGAATGGCAGATGGTGTTCTGTATTGCTGCTGGTATCAATGTATTTGGAGCACTTTTCTTCACAGCTTTCTCCAGGGGCGAAGTGCAGGGCTGGGCTCTCAATAATTATCACAGGCATCTAAACTAAAGGAACCATGGAGAAAATCACTCTCTTGATGCATTTTTATCATCATGGAACCTAAAAGTGCCTTTGATATTTGAATGCGTAAAAACTCCGCCAAAAAAATGTACTTATATAGTTGTAAGGCTGGAAATTATGAAATGTCACTACTTGATTTTTGTGAAATTTAATATTTTTAATCATTTATAATGAGAAAAGCTGTGCTTCAAGTTGTAATTTAGGTTCATATACACAGCTATAAGAAAATAATTATGCATAGTAGTTCAGGATTAACATACTGACTAAAAGTCAAAAAACATAAAATAGGAGTGCTGTTTATTTTCAAGAGAGCTATACACTTAGGAGAATAAGCTAAAGTGAACCCTATCCCTTTCCACAAACCGAATGGAGATTCTCAGGTATTGGTAAGGACTTGTTCTCATCTAAACTTCTCTCATGAACACATTTCACCTAGTTCAAGCCCAGCTTTGCTACTTACTAGCTTTTGTGACTTTAGGTAAGTCATTTAACCTCTCTGAGCCTCAGTTTCCTCATCTGTGAAGATACCAGTACTTGCACTTCATAACTCACAGAGTTATTGTGAGGATAGCACAACATGTTCTCTAAGTCAGAGCTATTTTTAATCTGCTCTCCCTCATACTCAGGTCTGAAAATTTACAGTTTCCATGGTGCTGCTAGCATCCATAGAATCTGGCCTTGCAATTGGTCTAGTACAATTCAAAATATATTAAGGGTCCACTGTGTGTAAAGCCCTGTGCTGGCTCCTGGAGAGATAGAAGATAGTGAGGGAGGATCACTGCCTTCATGGAGTTTACTCTTGGCCAGGTAGCTGTGGCAGGGGCAGCTTCATTTTCACCAACAGACTATTTTTACCTAGACCTTTCCTCTCTGGCTCATGGGGCAGGCAGTCCAGCCATTGCCACCCAGACTAAGATTTGCCAGTAATAGCTCAGTGCCATTACTTTGGGTAGAGTTCTCACTACATGGCTATTAACTGACTGATGAAGCTGCACTTTCAGAGCAGCCAAGGCTGGGGGAAATCTCAACCTCTCTGTGTGTATTTGAGGTAACTCCCACACACTCTGCTCAGCATGTTGAACTCTGAGTTGTTGTATAGTCTGCAACACAGATTTAGACTTCTGGTCATTCCTAAATCATCCCATGAACCATGCTTGGGACCAGCTGTCCATGCCGCTGCTTCTTCTGGTTCCAAATATAGGTACCTGCTTCTTGAGCTATTGCAAAGGCATCGAACCCATCCTCATTCCTCTACCTGGCTTAACTTGAGCTTCTGTTTGCAATTCAAAGTAAAAGTGGTTTTTAAAGGCCAAATCATCCAGGGACAGTCCCTGCTGCTTCTGGTCCCTGGGATTAAACTTCTGGGATTTACAAAGGGATTTTCACCAAATTTTCTGCCAGTGATTTCAAAGCATGCTTTAAAGAACCTTTATTTGATTTAGGTCTTGGCTAAAGTTTTGTAGCTATTAGTCCTATCTACTTATCTTGTCCGGGATAACTTTTTTGTTACCTATTGGGTGCAATTTTATGTAATTTATTTTTCAAACCATATTCATTCCAACATTTATTGTAAATAGTTTTAATTTGTTGTGTTGGTATCGCTTTTTATATGTCATTAAAATGATGATTAAATGTGAATTTTCTGGTTTTTTACAGCTTTTATAAGCACTTATAAAATCTCAGCGATTCATAAGAGTTAAAATGTTTTCTATTTTCAAAATTAATACCATACACATTTTTAAAAGGGATGATATATAATATGCACATTTTTTCTTTAAAAAGTTATCTAGGGGCAGCTAGGTGGCGCAGTGGATAAAGCAAACTGGCCCTGAAGTCAGGAGGACCTGAGTTCAGATCCGCCTCAGACCAAACACTGACACTAGCTGTGTGACCCTGGGCAAGTCACTTAACCCCAATTGCCTTAAAAAAGGGGGGGGGAGTTATCTTGAAACAAGAACATGATTTTTTACTGTGCTATATCCTCCTTTAATACTAAAATAGATCTATGATTTCATCTGTGTGGGTATTCCTTCCAGGGAAGCAGATCACAACCCATCTGCACCTCCCCGTCGTGTGGAATTCTTGTCCATTCACCTCAGCAAACCCTTTCTACGGGGTCCATAGGCACCCTGGGGCCTTCTTCTATCTCATGGTAGGGCAGATACCAGGGAAGCATGTAAGCTAGACGTCACGGATCCCTCCTCCCTCTTAGTATATGACTGGTCCGTTTTTTTGGTCCCATCACTAATGGCACCTTTTATGTCACTTTTCTCAAGGTCTCCACTGTGGATGTCTCTTAGACTTTCCACATTAAAAGATAGACTTTTGTTTCAAGGAGAATATTAGGTTCCTTAAAAGCTCACACACAAAAAAACCTTATATATTTTTCAAATACTTCAGTGCACACTAGTCCAGGGCTTCTTAAACTTTTTCCACTCGCAACCCCTTCAGCACTTCTTAAACTGTGGGTCATGACCTGGTCTATATAAATATACTGTAATCTTTTTTGATCAATGGAATTTTATGCTTCAACTGTATCTAATGTTTTTCAAGTTTCCTTTTCAATATTCTTCATGAGATAACTGTGAACTGAAGTCCAAAGTATTTTGTTTTAGGTCACTGTACTGCTTAAGCTTAGCCATCCGTTTACTGTCTGTCTCCTTGTATCCATAAGATAGCAAAGGATAGTATATCCTTTTCCATCTTTCTAGTTGGGGTGACCAACTTTCACTAAGCCATCCATATAACTTTTACCCCCTGGTGTAACCAAAGAACACATTTTTTAAAAAACTAGAGAGAGTCAGTCCTGACCCTAAACCAGTGGACCCGCCTGAGACCCAGAATAACGAGTTATCCCTCAGATGGTTCTCAGACCGGTCCAGTATTTTAGGCTCAGGATTGAAACAAAATGAGAGTCATGGATCATAGAATCCTTAACAAAAGAAGTTTGCTTAACCATAGAATGGAAAGGATATTCAGCAAAGATACAAAAAGTTGGATGCAAATCCCCTCACCTCTGCGTTTGCCTGGTCTAAAGGATGTGTTGATTCATGTCAGCAGGTTCAAGCCATGGTCCCCTTGACCAATTACATCTTGAGAACTGTTTCATTGTTTTGGGGGGTAGAAAGGGGAGAGGAGATAAACTCGGCTGTGTGGCAAGAGCCTTCCAGGCTTAATAGTTGATGTTGTTCCTATTACATCTGTTAATGGATAAGAACCGAAAGAAAGCTCTATCTCTACAATGCTGATATCTTTTGCTTTTTGTGTTGGTCTTTTGAGTACCCAAAATTTTAAAGTTTTTGCAAACAAAAAAATGCTAACTAAACATGGTACCAGACCTCATAACAAATGGTTTCTTTTTTTTTTTTTTGAGCTTGCAAACAGTTTAATCTTCCAAAGGCTAACCATTTCCCCTGATATTTTATTTATATCATCAGTTTTCTTGGAAAGCCAAATTTTTCATCTCATCACAGATAGGATACTAGACCTATAGTCAGGAAGACCTGGGTTCAAATCCTAACTCAGATGCTTACTAGATGTGTGAGCCGAGGCAAGCACTTAACCTCCCTTTGGATTTTGCCTCAAAGTTCTTATCAAGTTCTAAAACTTGCTATAACCACCCATACTTTAAATACTTGGATGTCCACTTTTTTTTTTGTTCTAACTCTATGATGGGAACTTCTAGTAAGTTCCCAGAGCACAAAGAGATTAAGTGATTTGCCCAGGGTCACATATTTCAGGGACAGAACTTAAACCTATATCTTATGACTACAAGGTCAGGCTAGATAACCCCAGTTCTAATCTGATGAGAGCAAAAGTGTGCCACCCTGAATTCCAGACAGCAATTTGGAATTATGCTTTAAATTTTTTTTATAAGTGACTAAAAAATCCAAATCCTTTGACCTAAAGATCCCACTGCTAGACATATACTCTAACAAGGAAAAAGACAGAAAAAAAAGTCCCACCTACCCCAAAATATTTGTTGCACTTTTGTGGTAGCAAAGAATAAAAAATAAAGTAGATGTCCTTTAGTTGGAGAATAGCCAAACAAATGGGTAGCTAGGTGGCACAGTGGATATAACAATAGGCCTGGGGTCAGGAAGACTCATCTTCCTGAGTTCATATCCAACTTCAGACACTTACTAGCTGTGTGACCCTGGGCAAGTCACTTTATCCAATTTGCCTCAGTTTCTTTATTTGCAAAATGAGCTGGAGAAGGAAAGGGCAAGCCATTCCAGTGTCTTTGCAAAGAAAACCCCCGATGGGGACAAGAAGAGTCAGACACCACTAAACAACAAGCCAAACAAATAACAGTGCATGAATATAATAGAATATTGTTGTACTGTACTGCCCCAGGGAAGTGAAAAGAAAAAGTTATTCCAGCCTTTCTCTGCAGAGGTAGGGGCCTTGGGTAAAACTGTATCTACTGTCAGGCTCAGTTGAAGTGTTGACTAGTTTTGTTGAAATGATTGTTTTTCCTCTTTTTCATTTTGTTTTTCTTTTAAGAATCAGAAACTTTAAGATGTTTGAGATTAAATTTTCATTTATTCATTCAACAGCTATGTGTCAAAGAGAAAAGTAAAATAGTCATTGTGGGCCTTCAAGGACTTTACATTTAATTGAAGGTGGAAGAAAGAAAATGTATTCAGATAAGTAAATACAAATTTATATAACAAATTAGCGCACAAATACTAGTGCTGGTGAGGTGGGCACAGTTTAGTGTTCCATTTGAAGAGCCCTTTAAAATATCATTAGGTCCTTTGTGGGGACATAAGGTTTGTATGTAGTATTTCTGTTTGTATACGGTATTTGTATATAGTCTTTGGAGAGAGGAAAGGTACCAAAAATTTGGAGGACAAAACAGGCTCCCTGTAGGAAGAGGCCCTTGAACTGAGCCTTGAAGGTTCTAAGAGTTGGAGATGAGGAATGGGAGCATTCCAGGAAAGGCTGTGTTTGCAAAGGCACAGATGTGGAGAATGGAATGTTGTGTATGGAGAACGGGAAGTTTAATCAGTTTGGCTGGAATGTAGTGAGTGGAGGGGAAGGAGGCAATAATGTATGATAAGCCTGGATAGGTTACATGGAGCCAGATTGTCAAGGCTTTTAAATACCAAACAGAATATGGTATTTGTATTTACTTATATACAGATGTGTTGTTTTCCCTAATGGAATGTAAGCAAAAGGCAAGATGGTGCCTCTGAGGGTTCATGAGCAGGGGAATGACTTGGTTAGACTCACGCTTTAGGAATATCACTTTCGCAGTCATGTGGATGGATTGAGAAATGAGGGCCTGGAAGCAGAGAGACAAATTAGGAAACTGTTGCAATGGTCTGGGCGAAAGAAGAGGGCAGGAGCAAAGGAAAATGGGACAGAAGAGGAAAGGGGAGAAAACATGGATGCTTGAAGGATAGTAGTATGCTCAACAGAAAGAAGAATGTGTTAAGGATTAGATTATACATTCTCTTTGATGACACTGGCACACTGTTCAAAATAAAGTTCCTCAGAATAGAAATATGTTGATGCAGCATTTGAAATAACTTGGGGGAAATATCACTGAGGAAAATGGCTTCTTGGGTCCTCCTCAGCCAAATCAATTGAACCAGAATTATGGGAGAGTGCTGTGTCCTCAGAAGTGGTCAGATGGTAATCAGCTCATTTCAATTAAAGGCAAAAACATAGAATCCTAAATTCAGCAGGGTTGTCAATTTTTCTTTCCCTTGGAAACAGACGAATCTTCCTTAGCTGCCTTTGGCTTTTGGAGAATATTCAAGCAAACAGCCAAATATTACAGAACTGTGAGTAATAAAAGTAGTTCTTGCAGAGAAGGAATCATATGGAAAACCTGTACTAGCAAAAAAGCTCTACATGGGAGAAAAATGTATCTAAACAGGCACACTGAATTGGAAAACGAAGTGTAGCTTCCCGGTCTTCAACCCTTGCTCGGTGAGGAGTGATTAGGATGAAAATGGTAATTTTCCAGGCTCCTGTTTACTTTCACTTTATCTCTTTTGGGGGAGGAGACTCATGAGGAGAAGGAAGGTTAGATTTCCTGTAGCAGTCATCAGAATGATCCAATCCTTATGCAATTGAGCTGAAGCCACTATAAAATCCTTGTGTGTGTCCCCTCACATCTCTCCTCAGACTGGCAGAGCAAGAGCTAAGCAAACCTTATGTCCCCACGAAGGACTTAATGATTTTTGCAAAGTGCTCTTCAGATGGAACACTAAACTGTGCCCACCTCACCAGCACTAGCATTCACCCCTCCTGGAGGGAAAAAAACACATAGATGACATTTCTTACAAAACACCACATATGTTGCTGCAGTAAAATTTCTGTTATTATCCCCTAGTTTTTGGTCTAATAACTTCCATTGCACAATGCAAATACTTTAGCTTTGGACACATACATCCAGAAAGGAAGCGAGTTCTGTTTTTTTCAGATGCAAGTTGTCCAGCACTGTCCTCTGTCTACAGTGATGATTTCCCAGAATTGTCAGTACCATATGTGTTTTCCACTGTTTTTCCAATAAGAATGGTAAGTTTGTACTGAGCTATCCAAACTGTCCTCCTTTTGACTAAGTGTTTTGGG